TATTTTTAATAGAGATGGGGTTTTGCCATGTTGCCCAGGCTGGTCTTGAACTCCTGAGCTCAGGCAGTCCGCCTGCCCCGGCCTCCCAAAGTGCTAGGATTACAGCCATGAGCCACTGCACCTAGCCCAAATTTTTATTTTAAAAACAAATTTCATTGTTTATTCCTTTTGTTTGAAGGGGAAAAACCCAAAGAAATGCTGAAAGTAAATGTCTATATTATCAGATCATTTTAATTCTATCTTATGTTAAATTAAGTTCAGAAAAATGCAAGCCTTTAAAAAAAATCAGAAAAAAATAAGTGTATTTTAGCGTGGCTTTTCCCTTCTCACAATATATTCTGACCTGAACATTCTGTAGATAATGGGCCTGAAATGATGTGGCTCTGGAAGTCAGTGCCCTGGATTCTTAGCGTAAGTCTTTACATAATTGGATTTATCCTTGTTTTTTTTTCTATTGAAAGCAAATGTTAGATCGCTTCATCTGGGTGGGTTTATTGCTGGTAGTAAAGTCATTTTGCATTAGAGGATTACTAAATACATTATAGCCTGAAAGAATCTTGGGCTTTGCTCAGTATCACTTACTTTCTTAATTTGTCAAAGTTGGTATTTAAAAATTTCAGGTGACTGATTGTTTCTTTAAAAATTTCAGATGACTGACCCAGTCACGTTAAATGTAGGTGGACACTTGTATACAACGTCTCTCACCACACTGACGCGTTACCCGGATTCCATGCTTGGAGCTATGTTTGGGGGGGACTTCCCCACAGCTCGAGACCCTCAAGGCAATTACTTTATTGATCGAGATGGACCTCTTTTCCGATATGTCCTCAACTTCTTAAGAACTTCAGAATTGACCTTACCGTTGGATTTTAAGGAATTTGATCTGCTTCGGAAAGAAGCAGATTTTTACCAGATTGAGCCCTTGATTCAGTGTCTCAATGATCCTAAGCCTTTGTATCCCATGGATACTTTTGAAGAAGTTGTGGAGCTGTCTAGTACTCGGAAGCTTTCTAAGTACTCCAACCCAGTGGCTGTCATCATAACCCAACTAACCATCACCACCAAGGTCCATTCCTTACTAGAAGGCATCTCAAATTATTTTACCAAGTGGAATAAACACATGATGGACACCAGAGACTGCCAGGTTTCCTTTACTTTTGGACCCTGTGATTATCACCAGGAAGTTTCTCTTAGGGTCCACCTGATGGAATACATTACAAAACAAGGTTTCACGATCCGCAACACCCGGGTGCATCACATGAGTGAGCGGGCCAATGAAAACACAGTGGAGCACAACTGGACCTTCTGTAGGCTAGCCCGGAAGACAGACGACTGATCTCCGAGCCTGCCACAGGTTCCTGGAAACACGGAAAATAGTGATTTTTTTTTTTTTTTAAATCACAGTGTGAGATTTTTTTTTCTTTTAAATGTTTGTATTTATTTGAAGGCAGTGAGGACCAGAAGGAAGTTTTGTGCTTTGGCACACTCCTCCGTGTTTTGTTCCCTTCCTCCTGAGTATGCATGTGCCTGTTCAGAGTCTCCAGATACCTTTTTTATAAAAAGAAGTCTGAAAATCATTATGGTATATAATCTACCCTTAACAGAGCTTTTCTTATTACAGTGCTAGAATGATTTCTGATAAAATGGTCCCTAACTCAACTAGAAGGCTAAAAATACAAGAATGAAAGAATAAGCAGAGTACTCATGATGCCTTTGAGAAAAATCAAAACATCATGTAGGGTGACCTAGTTTCCAAACCAATAAATAAGTAGTATTGTAATATTAAAGGAAAACTGTTCCAATCATTTAAAAGTACTTATTAAGTACTGCTTTTTACAGTTATGACAACTGTTTCTTTCTATGCATATAAATCAAGGAACCAAATATCTGTAGCCATGGAAATGTCTGACTAGAAATATTTATATTGAATTCTGAATACAAAATGTCCCCGTGGTAGAAATCTTACTCTTTATGCCTGGTGCAGTATAATTCTCAAGTGTACTGTCTACCAGAAAAAAAAAAAAAAACTAATAAAAAATGAAATATGAAAATTAAGTTTGTACTTATTGATTATTATTAAGGGGAGAAAAATCATATTCCTTGTCTAAAATATGCATTGTTTATGTCCCATTGTTTACTGCCTATAGCATATTTGTATTTAATTTGAGAGGACACAGTGGGATCTTAGGTTGCAGTTTATAAGAACTGTTGTGTCATTGAAGCAAGGATGGATGGAATTATTAATTTTGACTAAAAGGGTGCATATTTGAACAGTGAACATACAGTTTTTCATATTTTTCAAAAGAATTTATGTTGAAGATTACAGATTTTTCTTTAATTGCCCACGGTTCTATGACCATTACTTCAGTTTTCTGCTAAGCACAGGAACAAAATGACTGTAGCCCTTTATGCTCATGTTTTATGGTGATCCACAAATGTATTTTGTTAACAAAGTTAAGTTTATTTCTTTTTTTTTTTTTTTTTTTTTTTTTTTTGAGACGGAGTCTCGCTCTGCCGCCCAGGCTGGAGTGCAGTGGCCGGATCTCAGCTCACTGCAGGCTCCGCCTCCCGGGTTCACGCAATTCTCCTGCCTCAGCCTCCCCAGTAGCTGGGACTACAGGCGCCCGCCACCTCGCCCGGCTAGTTTTTTGTATTTTTTTTTTTTTTTTTTTTGAGACAGAGTCTCGCTTAGTCGCCCAGGCTGGAGTGCAGTGGCGCGATCTCGGCTCACTGCAAGCTCCGCCTCCCGGGTTCACGCCATTCTCCTGCCTCAGCCTCCCGAGTAGCTGGGACTACAGGCGCCCGCCGCCTCGCCCGGCTAATTTTTTGCATTTTTAGTAGAGACGGGGTTTCACAGTGTTAGCCAGGATGGTCTCGATCTCCTGACCTTGTGATCTGCCCGCCTCGGCCTCCTAAAGTGCTGGGATTACAGGCTTGAGCCACCGCGCCCGGCCAGTTAAGTTTATTTCTGAAGAGAAGAAACAAACTGCAGTGAATGAAGGACCTAGAACAGTTGGAGAAATACACGTACTTTTATTTATTTCCCTGTAGTCTTATTTTGCGTAGTTCATTTGCTTCTATTTCTTGAAAGTAACTCATAGGAAGGATTATTTTAATTATACTGAGACTTCCTACTTTGTTAGACCACCGTATAAAAGGAAGTCATGTAATTTATTCCCTATTTTCTAAGGGAAGAGTGGAACTCTGAGGCTGTGTGCCCTGGGGCAAGCAGGCCCCTCCTTTTCTCTTTCTCTCTGTGAGAATATTCTAAGGTTCTCTCTCTGCAAAGAAGATGACAGCACTTCCTTATGTCTATTTTTGCCCATGTCTCTGAAAATTTATTTTAAAATTTGACAAATGACCAACATCCAGAAACCTATAATTACCCTATTTTCACCGTCTTCAAACTAAGATCCTTTGATGTTATTGACAGGTTGCTGTGGTTTCAGTAAATCGATATACGAGTACAAATTTATCATTTTGGAAAATTATCTTATATTTAAAATTGATTTGATAGTTACCTTAAAAAAAAAAAAAGGCCCAACCAGTCAGTAACGTGTTGTTGAGCTAGCTGAGGTCAATATGAAATAAAATGATTTGGGTTGAAAACAGGTGTGGAAATAGGAATAATGCTAGTTCCCAGTTTTTATTTTTATTTTATTTTTAAATGATTTTTATTTATTTATTTTTGAGACAGAGTCTCACTCTTGTCACCCAGGCTGGAGTGCAATGGCGTGATCTTGGCTCACGGCAACCTCTGCCTCCCAGGTTCAAGCGGTTCTCCTGCCTCAGCCTCCTGAGTAGCTGGGATTACAGGTGTGTGCCATCGTACCCGGCTAATTTTTGTATTTTTAGTAGAGTTGGGGGTTTCACCATGTTGACCAGGCTGGTTTTGAACTCCTGACCTCAGGTGATTCACCTGCCCTGGCCTCCCGAAATGCTGGGATTACAGGTGTGAGCCACTGCGCCCGGCCCAAGTTTTTTAAAGTTAAAAACTTATGAGGCCTCTTCTTTGTCCTGTTTACTGGAGATAAGTTTGCTTTTGGCAAATTTTCTCAAATTTACTAATTATTAACAATGAAATGATTGTTTATATGAGTAAATTAGGAAAAGTAGCCAGCTGAATTTTTTTTTGTTGCCATTTTACTTGTGACATTTAGAGTGTTTTGTCTAATTGGGTAATTGAAAGTGATATGAAAAATGTAGCTTCATTATATTTGGGTAACTTGAGACAGTTATGTCTTTCAATGAAATTTTAAATCATTTTCACTGTGGAAGAGTTGATTTTTAAAAAATGATAGTTGCATTCTTCGAGCTGTATTTTATTTAGATTACAGCAAGTATAAGCACTTAGGAGGATTGTGTGTGTGCATGTATGTGTGTCCTTTTAAACCCAAGGATAAGTGTGTGCTAAAAACACACTAACTAATGAGCCTATTGGCTTTTGCTAGATCTAAAGCAAAATCCTGGTATTTAACCAAATAGATGCTATAAATGGACAGTGGTGCGGTTTTACTGTGGGAAACTTCTTTTCTTTTTTGAGAGAGTTCTTACTCTGTTGCTCAGGCTGAAATGCAGTGGTGTGATCACGGCTTACTGCAGCCTCAACCTTCTGGGCTCAGGCAATAAGCCTCTCAATAGCTGGGACCACAGACATGTACCCCTGGCCAATTTTTTATAGTTATTTTCATAGAGATGGCATCTCTCTATGTTGCTCAGGCTGGTCTTGAACTTCTAGGCTCAAGTGATCCTCTTGTCTTGACCTCCTGATGTGTTGGGATTACAGGCATGATCTACCCTTCCACCGGAAATTTGAAACACATTCAGAAGTAGAGAGAATAGTGTAATGAACACCCATGTACCTGCCCATTGACCAGCTTCAACAACTATTCACTTTGGCTTTTTTCTCCTATGGATTATTTTGAAGTAAATCACAGATATTATTTCACATATATCACTTCAGACTGTATTTAAAAGATAATGACTCTGAAACATAAATATCTAATTTAAAATTTTAATGTTGCATATATGCCATAGTACCAGTATCACATGATGGTGCTGGTTGCTTCTTGAATACTGTTGGTTATTTCATAGCTTGGATCTCCAACTTTGTAATAGTGGTCTTATATATTCCTCATAGGCAGGGTTCTCCTGTTTGTAGAAAGAAACGCATTATTAAGACAGTACATTTCTGCCAGGATTAATGACTTTTACTTTCAAATTAAGTCTTCAGCTTCAAAAAGTAACATTACGTAAGATTCTTAATTTTAAAAATTATTTCTAAAACTCATTTTGTGTGAACATATGGAGAAACATTTTTTCCAAAGGGCATCTTTCCTTTTCTCATGCAGATTTTAAATTGTGGATGCAGGTGGCCAATTAAAAACACAGCTTATCACTTGCTTTTGGAATTTAATACAAATAAAAGGCTTGACTCTTTGAGGCTCTCTGAAACTGAATATTAATCACAAAGCAAGGAACCAGATAGGGATCATATAAGCAGTATTCTAGGTCCGACTAGGTTATCTTTATGCTGTAATTCAGCGTCTTGATTCTTTGTTTCTAGTCTCATCTTTTATAATATTTACTTTGTGTGTATGTGCCTGTCTACACTAAAACTGTAAGCTCCTCGAACATTGGGCTTGACTCTTTTGTTGTTGTTGTTGGAGAGGGTATTGCTCTGTTGCCCAGGCTGGAGTGCAGTGGTGTGATCTTGGCTCACTGCAACATCTGCCTCCTGGGTTCAAGCGATTCTCGTGCCTCAGCCTCCTGAGTACCTCGGATTACAGGTGTGCACCACCACACCTGGCTAATTTTTGTATTTTTAATAGAGACGGGGTTTCGCCATGTTGGCCAGGTTGGTCTTAAACTCCTAACCTCAAGTGATCCACCTGCCTCAGCCTCCCAAAGTGCTGGGATTACAAGCTTGAGCCACTGCACTCAGTCTGGGTTTATGACTCTTGTTCTCCAGTATATCTTCAGTATCTGGAATCGTTTTTGGCACAAAGCATGTACTTAGTAAATATTTGTTGAATTATTGAATGAATGAATCAGTAGATGTATTTAATGCATCTAACTCCTACTTGGACAGATTTTTGCAATAGAATAATTGGGGAAAAACAGGATTTTTGTTTTTAAATTATCCCCAACAATTCCTCCCTTAAACCAAGAAAGCACATCATCCTATCCAGGGATAAAGCTCAACACTGCCCCAGACAGAAGAGAGCTTCTCCTATGATTCTAAGATGTTTACCTTAGCATAGCACTTTTCTTTTGGTAGAAAAATGTCAGTGAAATATATTCTTGTTTGTACTTTCATGTCTACAGGGCATGTTTCAACATAGCTGCTCTTTTATTTAAAATATCTGCCAGGCGTGGTGGCTCACACCTATAATCCCAGCACTTTGGGAGGCTGAGACCAGCCTAGCCAACATGGTGAAACCCTGTCTCTACTAATACAAAATACAAAATTAGCTGGGTGTGGTGGTGTGTGCCTGTAATCCCAGCTACTTGGGAGGCACGAGAATTGCTTGAACCTGGGAGGCGGAGGGTTGCAGTGAGCCGCGATTGTGCCACTGCACTTCAGCCAGGGTGACAGAGCGAGACTCCGTCTCAAAAAATAATAATAATAAATAAAAATACATAAAATATCTGCAGTGTGCCTTTTTCTATTAGTGCAAATGAGGAAAATGTCTCGTATTGCAGCTTCAAAATTATAGCATATTTTAAGAGTAGGATTAAAAAATTATCCACAGCAGATTAAAAAATACACTTTAAAAGTGCTATTTTGGTGATCTCTAAAAGGAGCCAGAAATGTAAGATCATGTACGTTAGCAGGCAGCCTCATGTCATTTTAACTGACTGGAAACAGTTCACAAAGGTCATTTGTAACTTCACATTCCCAAATTATCATACGTGAAAGATCCACAGTGCTATACCTGTCACCTTTTTAGGAAGGTAATATCAGCTAGGATGACAAGAGTCTGTGGCACTGTGTATGCAGCAGATTCCTTCATCTCACTATGTAGGTCGTAAAACCATGTTCATTTATTCCATAAACGTGGAGTGTCTACTCCGTGATAGATCCTGGAGCTGGGAAGGTGAAGACTCCTTTGTTGTTCACAGTCAAGTGGAAGGAGATAGAAGTGAATGGGATGAAGTGCATCAATGTTTTCCCAAATGTGTTGAGCCTCTGGGTCAGTCATTCCTCTTGTTTAGATAAACATGTTCTCGTGTAGTATCCAGATTAAAGTCTTTTAAAATAAATATTAAAACCAAACTAAAACACAAGAAAGCCCCCTCCATTCTCTCCAGAGAAACCATAATGTTTCCTGGGTTGCCAGTAAAACAGGTTTGAGCTATATATGTCAGCATTTCTGACAGGTGTTATAGCAGGGCAGGTTTTTCTCTGGAGCCCCAAAGGGCATACATTTATCTTTAGACCATGGGAGCTAGTGTGGAGTGGGAGGACTGCTGTATTTTTATGCCAAGATTTAAATGTTAGAAAGTAGAGAGATCTAATCATTAGAAAAAACACACTGGAAGTAGGTTAACTGTACTAAAGTAGTGAACGTATATTGTTTATGTTTCCTTGAGTTAAAAGGATTATCTTTCTGGGGACAGGGAGTGACCAAGATGGGTTAGTTGTGTTGTAACTTTAGATAGTCATGTTAAATTAAGCCATGTGGTATGACAGGCTGCAAATTGTTAAGAACAAGTCTAACACCGTGCTAGGTGTGAATGAAAGCCTGAGAGTTGCCAATTTGATGTGGTGTTAAGACACCTTTTCTGAAATTGGATCAAAGAGGTAAAAAAAGAAAGCTTCACCACCTGAATAATGTATTGGCACTATAAAATTTAAAATAATCTGTTGTGTACCTATCGACTTTTTGTTTTGATCATTTATGTAAAATCTGCTATTAAATATTGGTTCCTCATATTCTAACTACAGGGTTTATTTCCTCACTCCTGTTAACATATTCACTGACATTTACAACTTTTCTCAAACAGGCTCATAAGCAGAGAGCTATGAGCATACCCTGGCCCTAGAGTGTTGGGACCTTATGAGTCCTCCCCGTCTTCTCACTGTTAATGATGTAGAGTTCTGGTGTGCTCTCCTAGGATGGCTGGGGATTTTTTTTCATGACCCTTGTAATTGTCACTTATATGGCTTTCCTGGGCTACTGATGGCAGTGCAGCAGCTCTCTTTGCTCCTTGGATTGTATTCCTTAGAGTGAAGAGGAGAGGGTATCATCTCTAGCAGGCAATCAGGTCTGAGACATCCCTCAAGCTTCCTACCACTTCCGAATACCCACTTTTATCTACACAAAACTGAAAGTTAAAAGGCTGAAAATAAGGTGGTTAAATCACTGCAGTGATTTATCTCCTTCTTTTTGTTACTTAAAAGCCAGTTTACCACTCTGTGTGTATGCCCTTGGGTCTGTCAAGCCATGATTTAGAGCTTGGGCCTTCCTCTTAATTCCCTTTACTAAGTTCCAAGCAGTGCATTTTGCTGATTACAATCCAGGCTCAGAGTTCCTGCCACGCCATACTGCCACTCCTGGTTTCTTTTGTGTGTTCTCTAAAAATATTTTATTTTATTTTATTTTATTTTATTTTATTTTATTTTTTGAGACGGAGTCTTGCTGTGTCACCCAGGCTGGAGTGCAATGGCGCGATCTCAGCTTACTGCAAGCCCTGCCTCCCGGGTTCACGCCATTCTCCTGCCTCAGCCTCCCGAGTAGCTGGACTACAGGCGCTCGTCACCACGCCCGGCTCATTTTTTTGTTTTTTGTATTTTTAGTAGAGACAGGGTTTCACCGTGTTAGCCAGGATGGTCTTGATCTCCTGACCTCGTGATCCGCCCGCCTCGGCCTCCTAAAGTGCTGGGATTACAGGTGTGAGCCACCGCGCCCGGCCTCTAAAAATATTTTAAACAGACATGCTACGCCAAGTGATTGCCAACCTAATGGGAATCGGTTAAAATAGGAGAACATGCAGGTGTATTCACTGCCTGTTCTCTGCTTTCTTACATAATTTATAATGTGTTCCACTCAACTACCTGAGTATTGGTTGGTGACTTCTGAGCCCACTGGAACAGGCGTTCATAAACATTTCCATCATAACAGCCAAGTGCTGAATTTAAACACTCATCGGTGAAGTCAAAAGCATCAGTTAACAGGATGGCATCCTTCCTGGGATAGGAAACAAGAGTTTGTAAGTATTTTAGATTGCTCTTATGAATCAAACTAGTCTTGGATGGTGAATAACAATACCTAATTAGAGGTTGCATGATTATTTGCTTTTCAAACAATTCAGCTTTTTTTTTTAGTTTTTCGTTTTTAATCAATTATATATGCATAGTATAATGAATGAGTCAAAGAGTTCCTTAAGGCTTGTTTAAAAAAACAGCATATCCGGCCGTGCGCGGTGGCTCACGCCTGTAATCCCAGCACTATGGGAGGCTGAAGCAGGTGGATCATGAGGTCAGGAGATCGAGACCATCCTGGCTAACATGGTGAAACCCCGTCTCTACTAAAAATACAAAAAATTAGCCAGGTGTAGTGGCACGTGCCTGTAGTCCCAGCTACTCAGGAGGCTGAGGCAGGAGAATCACTTGAACCCAGGAGGCGGAGGTTGCAGTGAGTGGAGATCATGCCACTGCACTCCAGCCTGGGCGACAGAGCGAGACTCCTGTCCCAAAATAAATAAATAAATAAATAACCAGCATATTCCTGCCTGATTTCCACTTCTTTCTCCTCAGAAGCAATTTCAATCTTTTTTTTTTTTTTTGAGATAGTCTCGCTCAGTCGCCCAGGCTGGACTGCAATGGCGCAATCTCGGCTTACTGCAACCTCCACCACCCAGGCTCGAGCCATTCTCCTGCCTTAGCCTCCTGAGTAGTTGGGATTACAGGTGCCCACCACCATGCCCAGCTAATTTTTGTATTTTTAATAGAGATGGGGTTTTACCATGTTGGCCAGGCTGGTCTCGAACTCCTGACCTCAGGTGATCTGCCCACCTCGACCTCCCAAAGTGCTGAGATTACAAGTGTGAGCCACCATGCCCGGCCGACAATTTCAGTCTTTTAGCTGATATTTTTGTATTTATCCAAATGTCAAAATATCTTGTTTATATTGCTGCTTGTTCATGGTTCAGTTTGAGATATTATCTGTTGATTGTTCATTCAAAAGGTAAAGATTTATATTTATCACCCCTCTCTTCACTCCTACCTCCCCCTGTTCCCATTCTTCCTCCTCCTGGCCATCAGGCCTCCCAATATAGTTATAATTTTGGCCAGACCAGTATTTAGTATTGACATCACGATGACTGTGCATCATTAAAGCATTGGAGGTAACTGGGATACTGTATCCAGTGTAATCCTTTCTTGATGATCCCCAACATCATATGAGCCCTACCACCAATTTAATGTCCCCCTTGCCACCTTGTGGACTCACTTCATTCCTTATCCACCTGAAATTCCATGCCCTATTACTCTCTCAAAAATATATTCAACAGGCCAGGTGTGATGGCTCACGCCTGTAGTCCCAGCATTTTGGGAGACTGAGGCAGATGGATCGGCTGAGGTCAGGACTTCGAGACCAGCTGGCCAACATGGCAGAACCCTGTCTGTACTAAAAATACAAAAATTAGCCAGGCGTGGTGGTGTGTGCCTGTAGTCTCAGCTTCCGGGAAGGCTGAGGTGGGAGAACTGCTTGAACCCGGGAGGCAGAGGTTGCAGTGAGCTGAGATCGTGCCACTGCACTCCAGCTTGGGCAACAGAGCAAGACTCTCTCTAAAAAAAATATATATATACACACACACACACTCAACAGTTTTTCTTGCTTTGTCATACCTGTTTAGCAAAATGCATATCTCTTTGTCTTTAATTTTCCACCCACTTTGTGCTACCACCTTTGTAGCTATACATGACTGGAAAAAACAATCATAACTGGTGTAATAATGGCTCAAGTGGGCCCTAATTGCAGCTCAGCAATCGTATTACATTGCTGCATTTACTCATTGTTCATTTACTCTTTCCTTTTCTTAGGTAGTTATTTCATACCATCTCTTTGATCCTCAGATTGACACTATCCACCTTTCCCATCTTTCTTGCCTGGATGGCTTTACATCATATCTCACTGATGAAGTGGAAGCAGTAAGAGAATCCTGTATAATTCCCACCCTTGCATTTATACATACAATGCCTTCTCTCTTCAGGCTGTCAGCTCAGGCCTCAGTCCCTCCTTGTCTACTAGAGGTCTTTTCCTCTTGCCTACTGGAGAAACAAAATTCTCCTGCCTTTCCCCTACAACATCAAAATTCCCCTCTCAGGGGTAAAAGGTTAGTGGAAATGCCCTTCTTTCTTTTTGCTGTAGGCCTGGCTGGTTGCTGTCAAACTGGGCAAGTTCATGAAACCTGGGAATGTGGTGCTGGTCCTGGCTGGATGCTACTCTGGACACAAAGCCATCATCATGAAGAACATTGATGATGGCACCTCAGTCCATTCTTACAATCATGCTTTGGTAGCTGGAATTAATTGCTATCCTCACAAAGTGACAGCTGCCATAGGCAAGAAGATCTCCAAGAGGTCAAGGATTAAGTCTTTTGCAAAAGCTTATAACTACAATCACCTCATGCCCACAAGGTACTCTGTGGATATGCTCTCGGACAAACTATCATCAACAAGGATCTCTTCAAAGAACTTGCTCTTAAACACAAGGCCTAATGGGAAGCCAAGATCAAGTTCAAAGAAAGGTACAAGGAAAAAAAAATCCCCTCTGTACTGGATCATGTCCATCAGTATACAAACAGACAGTCATTTCTCCCATCTTAAACACAAGCTTTTGACTCTATTTCCTTCTCCATCATCTTGGCCCCCCTTTAGGACAAAACTCTCTGAAAGCGTTACGTGTGTTTATGCTTATGATTTCCAATTTTCACATTCTCTCCTGAACTGGATCTATTCATATTTTTACTCCCAGCATTCCAGAGAAATAGCTTTTGCCGCGGTTACTTCCTTACTATCTTTCGAGGGTCTCAAGACTCAGTACTTGGGCCTTTTCTCTTCATGCACTCCTTGTGATATTCTTCTCATGGCTTTAAATATCAACCATATGCCAATGACTTCCAAATTTATTCCTCCAGTGTCCCCTGCTTACCAACATCTGTACTTGGATTTCTGACAGGCTCTTCAAAGGTAATGTGTCTGAACCCAAACTCCTGGGCTGCTAGCTCTTTCCTGTCCACCCTGCCACCTGGCCCTCCTGTAGTCTTCCCCATTTATGGTAAATAGCAGCTCTGTCCTTCTGACCAAAAACCTTGATTCTTCTTTTCTTTTTTACCGTACATCTAATCTGTCAGCAAATCCTGTTCTGCCTTCAAGATACATTCAAACTTCAACCACTTCCCACCACTTCCAGCACTATCACTGCTCCAATCCACTATCATCCCTCACTTGGATGATTGCATGAGCCATCCAGCTGATCTCCCTGCTTTTCGCTCTTAGTTCTTAATATAGCAGCTGGAGTGAGCCTTTAAAAATATACATCAGATTCTTTCAGGTTGTGTCTATCCAATGCTCAAAACCCTCCCATTCTATCCAGTGCTCAAAACCTTCGCATTCTCTTAAGTCTTTGCAATGATCTACCTTACTCTCTCTTCCCACCCCCTGCTGTACTCCCTTAACTCTCTGACCTCTGCCCTCATTTTCCACTGCAGTCATGCCCTTCCTGCCCCTGTGGCCTCTTCTGTGTGGATGGATATGCCAAGCACACTCTGGTCTCCAACATTTGTACCATCATGCACTGCATAATGATGTTTTGGTCAATGATGGACCATGTATATCATGGTGGTCCCATGACATTATGATAAAGCTGAAAAATTCCTATTGCTTCATGACTTACATTAGAATTGCCTACAGTATTCAGTACAGCACCGTGCTTTGCAGTGTGAGCCTACGAGCAATAGGCTATACCATTTAGGCTTGTGTAAGTACACTCTGTGATGTTCACATGATGACAGACTCACCTGAAGACACATTTCTCAGAACGGATCCTCCCGTCATTAAGTGATGCATGACTGTATTTATGTTCTGCCTGTAATGTTCTTTCCCTAGCAGCTACAACAGCTTCTCCCTACCTTCTCCCAGGTCTTTCCTTAAATGTCACCCTCCCAGGGAGGTTTTCTCTGGCCTACTTAAAATTGTAGCTCCCCATCCTCCCTACTGACCCCCGGCATTCTTTCCCCCACTTCCTACTATCGTTTCCTTCATCGTAGCTATTATCATTTCACATGGTATACAGTGTGACTTATTTTGTGCATGTGTGTGCCTGTCTCCTCTCCTCTAGTGTGTAGGCATCTGTGACCCTTTTTCATTGAAACTCGTATCCTTCACTTGAGGAATGTTTTCTTGAATTATTTTATTAATGATTCGCTTCCTTCTGTTTTCTCTGTCTTCTTTCTAGACCTATTCTTCAGATGATGAACAGCTAAGACTGGTCCTCTTACTTTTTAAAAGTCCTCCTTTTTTTTGTCTTTTTGCTTTCTTGCTGTGAGATTTCTGCAACCTTATCTCCCAGTCCTTACATTGAGTTTTCATTTCCACTATCATTTTTTAATTTCAAGGAGGTCTTTTTTAAGGTTCTCTGAATATTAGTTTTAAATAATGGCATTCAGGTTTTTTTTTTATTTTGTGATTGCAATACTTTCTCTATCACTGTTTTTTTTTTTTTTTTTAAGTTTTCTTCTCCCTGTGGATCCTCTTATGTCCTCTGAATTGCCTTGTTCTTGCTTGTTTTAGTCTCCATCTTTTATGTTAGGGGCATTCTTCAGGTGTTTATTGATCCCTGAGTGTCTGATCATAGCTAAGAGCAAGGCATTAACTAGCTGACTACAAACCTGTGGCTATGCTTGCTAATGTGGGGTTCACTATGGAGTGAAGTGGGTGGACCATTGGGGGACTCTGATGTCAGTGTCTTTAGCTCCTTCTCCTTGGGCTGGCCAGATTCTCCAGAGAAGGATCATCTTATTATCTTCTTGCAGGGTACTAGTCTGGCTGCCAGTTTTTTAGGAACCAGTGGGAAAAAAGGTCTGGGGGAGGGAGGTGTCCACATTTGGCCTATAAAGAACCCTGTTTTCTGAAGGGTAGCCTTATTATCAACTATACCTGATGCTCCCTAGTCCACAGACCCTCTATTTACCCTTCTGCCAGGGCAGAGTCAAGGAAAGTCTTAAAATCACTCACAGAGGCTAGGTGTGTTAGCTCATACATGTAATCCCAGCACTTTGGGAGGCTGAGGTAGGAGGATCCCTTGAGCCCAGGAGTTCAAGACCAGTCTGGACAACATAGAGACAACATCTCTTTCTCTTTGTGGGTTTATGCCTTTAAAAAAATTTCAGTCCATTCACTGATGTTTTAGTAGGGTTTCAGGAAAGAACAAAAGTAAATGCATATGTTTAATCTGTCATCTTTACCTAGAAGTACCCCCAACTGAGGTTTTATGACCGCTTAAACAACTAAAGACTGGGTCAGTTAACATTACAGAGAGCTTGTTCTTGGCATCCTTAGCATACTTTGCCGCCCTTCAGTTTTCGTCTCAGAAATCTTAGGGAGATAGTGACTAATCAAGGCAGGGAACTGTGACACCAAACAGTGATATGCATAGAATCTGTTATGTGCCGAATTACCCTGCAGTAGTAAGGCTACTTAGGAACCATCATGGAAGTAAATCAATTTCTGGGTTTGATGCATGAGTAAGTTGGCAGCTTGCATCAGGGCTGTCTGTCTTGTCTTGAATTGTAAGTTGCTGGAGCCAAGGCAAGCACTTAGAAATGCTGTTTGAAAATTTAAAAAACATGCTTACAGGGTGTTAAGGTGATCTTTTGTATTTTATCATCACCGACAACCGGGGCTAGAACAATTATTTTCAAGTGCTTTTAAATTCTGAGGGTTTCAGACAGATAGACACCCTTGGGCTTGAACTGTGCAGTACTTAATTATGCTCTTAATAGTTTTCACCACTGGATTCCCTGTATTAGGGAAAGTTTAATACCTGGGACATAATTGTGTCAAATGTATTTTTGACAGTTTTTGATGATTTAACTGAACTTTTTTTTTTTCCTTGAGACGGAGTCTCACTCTTGTCGCCAAGGCTGTAGTGCAGTGGTGCGATCTTGGCTCACTGCAACCTCTGCCTCCCGGGTTCAAGCGATTCTCCTGCTTCAGCCTCCCGAGTCGTTAGGATTACAGGTGCCCGCCACCACACTGAGCTAATTTTTTGCATTTTTAGTAGAGACAGGGTTTTACCATGTTGGCCAGGCTGGCCTCGAACTCCTGACCTCAGGTGATCCACCCACCTTGGCCTCCCAAAGTGCTGGCATTACAGGTGTTAGCCACCATGCCTAATATATATATATTTATATTTATATTAAATAAATACATATATTTAATTTTAGAGACAGGGTCTTACTATGTTGCCCAAGCTAGTCTTAAACTCTGCCTCAAGTAATCCTCCCACCTTGGCCTCCCAAAGTGCCGGGATTACACGTGTGAGCCGCTGCTCCCAGCCTCTTTTTTTCTTTTTGTCAGTCTTGTTGATATGAGAATTGTTGGAGATTCTAGGAGTCACCTCTAACCCTATGCAATAGGCATCATATTTTCTGCCCAGTGAGGTCTCGAAAAGATTATATTCTCAAATTAGTTCATTTTTTTTAACCTTATGGACAATGGTAAATAATTTGGAATGTTTTCTTTTCTTTGCTTTTTTTGAGACAAGGTCTCACTTTCTTGCCTAGGCTGGAGTGCAGTGATGCAATCAGAGCTCACTGCAACCTTAACCTCCTGGGATCAATCAAGCTCACTGCAACCTTAACCTCCTGGGATCAATCAATCCTCCTACCTCAGCCTCCCGAGTAGCTGGGACTACAGGTGTGTGCCCAATTCATTTTTTGTATTTTTTGTAGAGGTGGGGTTTTGCCATGTTGCCCAGCCTTTTTTTTCTTTATTGTTTTTATTTCTATTTTTTCTAGGACTCTGATCAGTTTGGGCTTTGGTTTTGATATGTTTTTAAAGCAATTGTTTAGATTATAGAATAACAGTGTGAAAGCACTGCATTAGTATTTCATTGACCCTGCATTAATGCTGCATTTAAAAACTGTGTGTTATTATTTTATAAATGAATATATGAATTACAGAGTTAAAAAAATTTTCCTCTTGAAGCTGAGGGAGGATTAAGGTAAGTTTACTAAACTTGGTAAGAATTTGCTGAAGCACATTTAACAAAGACAAGGATGTGTTTGAAGTAGATAATACCTCAACCTTCACCTTAACATACAGGTGAAGAGCTCATGCCCAAGGGCCAGACCTGAGATTGTACCTGGCCCCTCCTCTGGCTGGTTGACACTGGGCAACTCCCATCAGCCTGAATTTCCTTTCCAATAAAATAAGGAGATTAATAGTACCCATTTCAAAGGGCTGTAAGGATTAAATGAGATGTATGTAAAAGCCTTTGGTGCAGGGCCTGTCACATAAGTGCTCTTTAAAGGTTAGCTATGCCTGGGCACATTGGATCACACCTGTAATCCCAGCACTTTGGGAGGCTGAGGCACGTGGATCACTTGAGGTCAGGAGTTGGAGACCAGCCTGGTCAACATGATGAAACCCCATCTCTACTAAAAATACAAAAAACCTGGGCATGATGGCAGGCACCTGTAATCCCAGCTACTTGGGAGGCTGAAGCGGGAGAATCACTTGAACCCAGAGGCAGAGGTTGCAGTAAGATGAGATTGTACTACTGCACTTTAGCCTGGGCGACACAGCAAGATCCCGTCTCAAAAAAAAAAAAAAAGAAAAAAAAGTTAGCTGTGGTTGAAACTATTATTAGCACATTAGCAACATATCATTCATGTGTAGCATGCTTCATTTTATTCATTTTCCTTAGATACTATTCCTATTTCCTTGACAATGTGAAGAGTTCAACTGAGGCATCTCATTTATTCTTAAGTGTTTTTCCCATTTTTTTCTTTCATTAATTCATAATGCTTTGTGCTGATGTAATGATAATAGGGTGTAAACCTCTCCAGGGCTGTTGCTGCTCTGTCCATTAGCAAGGTTTTGGAGTTGGAAGTGACCTGTGAACAAGGGGGTAGGGTTATTCTCTGAAGGCTAACATGGTTTGAAGGCTGTGCCACTCACCGGATCAGGCGGAGCAGGTCCAGGTAGGCTGTTCTTGCCATGTCCACTTGGGCACCAGACAGGAAGGCATCATGGAGAAAGTCACCCGAGTTAGTCAAGATTCCGTGTATGGCATGGAGGTCACAGAGGCGCTTGAGCACCTGCTGAATCGCTGATTCATTTTCTAGTTTCTCCAGAGCTTCTGTAAAACCCTTCACAGTGACATAGTAGCAGTGCGCCTACAAAGCCACAAAGATATGTTCTCCTGGTTTCTGGTTTTCTACTCCAGAAGTCATCCTGGAAGCTTGGCAAGATGGCTGGAATAAACTTGAGGCAGGATGTGCTTCCCAGCAGGCTGACTTTTCTTCTAGCTCACTCTGGGTCTGATCAAGGCTTTTTGATGTCGTGTGTGTGTGTGTGTGTGTGTGTGTGTGTGTGTGTGTGTTGGGGACTGGTGGGCTTTTGAAACATGGCCCTTGTTTTCTTTTGCTTGGAGCAGTTTCAAGTAGGTTGGAAAGTGGAGAGAAAGAATACAGGCACATTGGAGGCTGGCCTGGGGAAGGTAGAGGACAGCACCACTGTTCTTAAGAAAATAGCTATTTTAAGGCTGGGTGCGGTGGCTCACGCCTGTAATCCCAGCACTTTGGGAGGCCAAGGTGGGTGGATCACCTGAGGTCAGGAGTTTGAGACCAGTCTGACCAACATGGCAAAACCCTGTCTCTACTAAAAATGCAAAAATTAGCCAAGCATGGTGGTGCATGCCTGTAATCCCAGCTACTTGGGAGGCTGAGGCAGGACAATCACTTGAACCCAGGAGGCGGAGGTTGCAGTGAACCAAAATCATGCCATTGTACTCTAGTCTGGGCAATAAGAGCGAAACTCCATCTCAAAAAAAAAAAAAAAAAAAAGCTATTTGTTGTCTGCAGTGTTCAAGTCAGTGGTGTGTGTGTGTGTGTGTGTGTGTGTGTGTGCACACACACACGTGTACACCATGGGGTGAGAAAATAATGGTTCAAGATATATATGAAATTTATCCCAGCTAGAGTATAAACTCCTTAAGGTAAGCAGTGCTGTTATTTAGCTCATATGTAATGGTCTGGCTATGGCAGTTGTCAAAAAAATACTTTAATACCAGCTGGCAAGTGTCCACTGCCATCAACCCTGTGAGAGCCCCTCCTGCCAGATGGACTCCGTCCCGAAGACCCCCTCCTTCTCTCCACAGCCCAGCAACTAAAGGATTAATGCTTGACCCAGCAGGAGGCCTTCAGGACCTTGCTTACCCTAGGGCTGAAGTCCATTTTGATTGGTTAGTGCCTTGTCCTACTGGTTGTAACATATTTTGAACAGACCCCATCTCATCAAGACAAGCACACATAATTATTTTGTCAGGTAGGATATATGAGTTCTATTAGGGAGAGTGAGGAAGACAGAACGTATAAAGCAGTGCTTCTCAATTTTTTTTTTTTTTTTTTTTGAGATACAATCTCACTCTGTCACCCAGGCTGAAGTGCAGTGTTGCGATCTTGCCTCACTACAACCTGTGTCCCACTGGGCCCAAGTGATCCTCCTGCCTCAGCCTCCCGAGTAGTTGGGACCACAGGTGCACATCACCATGCCTGGTTTTTTTTTTTTTTTTTTTTTGGTATTTTTAGTAGAGATGAGGGTCTTGCTATGTTGCCCAGTCCCGAGCTCAAGTGATCCTCCTTCCTTGGCTTCCCAAAGTGCTGGGATTACAGGCAGAGCCTCTGGGCCTGGCCCCGCTTCTCAGTTTTTTATGTGCACACAGATCACCTGGGGATCTTGTAAAAATGCAGATTCCAGGGCAAGGCCTGAGACTGCATTTCTAACAAGGTCCCCTGTGATGCCCATGCTGCTGTAGTGATTTTCAGTAGCAAGATTTAGAGTGTCTTGGGGGTTTGGCTGGGTGCGGTGGCTCACACCTGTAATGCTAGCACCTTGGGAAACTGAGGTGGGTGGATCACTTGAGGTCAGGAGTTTGAGACTAGCCTGGTCAACATGGTGAAACCCTGTCTCTACAAAAAATACAAAAATTAGCCAGGTGTGGTGGTGCACACCTGTAATTCTCACTACTCAGGAGACTGAGGCACGAGAATCGCTTGAACCTGGGAGGTGGAGTTTGCAGTGAGCTGAGACTGTGCCACTGAACTCTAGCCTGGGTGATGGAGTGAGATTCTATCTTAAAAAAAAAGAATGTCGGCCGGGCGTGGTGGCTCAAGCCTGTAATCCCAGCACTTTGGGAGGCTGAGACGGGTGGATCACGAGGTCAGGAGATCGAGACCATCCTGGCTAACACAGTGAAACCCCGTCTCTACTAAAAAATACAAAAAACTAGCCGGGTGAGGTGGCGGGCGCCTGTAGTCCCAGCTACTTGGGAGGCGGAGGCAGGAGAATGGCATGAACCTGGGAGGTGGAGCTTGCAGTGAGCTGAGATCCGGCCATTGCACTCCAGCCTGGGGGACAGAGCGAGACTCCGTCTCAAAAAAAAAAAAAAAAAAAAAAAGAATGTCTTGGGGGTTCAAAAGAATTCACCCAGTGGGACATGAGTTGGGGGAAAGGTCATTCCAGGCAGGGAGAACCTTATGTGCAAAAAGTTGTACATTCAGGAAGCTGCAGGCAATTTAATGAGGCTGAAGTGTGGTGGTATAATGAGGTGATGATGGGGAACCATGGAGGTTAGGGTGGACTCATACCTGGGGCTCAGGTCAGTGAAGGGCTGTGAAGAACATGGTCGGAATTTGTTCTGTGGGACCGGGAGTCTTTAGCTGCGCAGTGACCCGATCCATTTTCTCACTTGGAAAGAACCTGTGTTTCCTAGGGGGCCCTCACACAGGTGCTGACAACTCCACTTTGCCATTCAGACATGGTGTGCTCACAGCCATGCTGGACTTGCAGCATTTGGCTGTGGAAGGTCAGCAGATGTGCTGTGTTGCCTCTGGGGCTCCAGTAGCCTTTGTTGCTCAGACTGGGTACAGCTTGGCAGAACTGCAGACCCACACTCCTTTTCCTGTCCTAATCTGAGAGCTGCATCCTCAAATGCTTAAGGCTCTCAGTTGAGGAGTGGAGTGATGGAGAGCTGCCCAACAGCCTGGGCCTCTGCCTTAAAAAGCAGGATGAGGATCAGAGACAGAGGTGACCTCTACGCTTTGGGGAAGGGCTGAGCCGAACTTTGGTCCCACACTCTGAGCACAGTGAACATTATTTACATTGTGTGTGTTGGTTTAAATCTTGCCTCCTGTCTAATTTGGGGGTGGGGGTGGGATATATGCACTTATGTGCTAGCTGCCTCTCTTTAAGTTTTACTCATTTAATCTTTATCAGAGTCCTACAAAGTAGGTACTGTTATTAGCTCTATCTTGCAGATGAAGAGACTGAGGCTCTGAAATATTAAGTTTCTTCCCCAAGGTCATGGCTAGGAAGTGGTAGCAGTGAGATCCACACCAGGGCTGTATTCCTAACCCTGTGTGGCCAAAGCCACAGGAGACTGAGGCTGGATTATAATGAGGCCAGCATTTGTTCCAGTGGTCCTGGAGACTGACATCTCTTCTGGTCAGAGTCTGCATTATCGGACCACAGCCTGACAGAGCCTAAAGGGCTCTCCCATGCCCCTTTGTCTACAGACAGGGAAGTTAAAGCCCAGAGAAGGAAGGGGCTGCTTGAGGTCACACAGAGCTGGGACCAGAATTTAGCCCATGGCTCCCCCTTGTCTACTCTTCTGTCAGTATCATCCCCGCTTCCCCCAAGTTGCAGTTATCTCTACCTGCACATTTATGGTTTCCAGATGGGGCCCAGTTGGGTGCTGAAGCTTTCTGTAGACTAAATAACCCCGCAAAGCACAGAGAGTACAGAAAGCCCTATCCATTATGACCCTGGAGACTCAGCTGGGGCACCACCTCCCCAGGAAGCTGTCAGGGACTTGTTCTTCCCTCACAGGCTGGCTGGCTATCACCCTCCATCCCCCCAGAGTTTGTTGCTCACCTCAGTCACTCATCACACCCTTGGTGGTGTGGGAAGGGAAAGCATCTGGACTCAGCTATTTTCTACCTCTGGGACCTAACTCCTGAGTTCTCTTTCCTTACTCTTGAAGTGGAGATAATGTCAGTCTCCCTCCCAGGGCTGTGTGGATTAAATGAAGTAACCCTGGCAAGCAGCATCTGGTCCATTTGAAGGCAGGCCATAGGTTTGGAAAATGGATGAGTGGATAATGGGCAGCTGTGGTTCCTGTTTTGGTGATCCAGTGAAAGCAGGAAGCCTTGGCTCACCCTCTGTGTTGACAGGACAGTTAGCACAGCAGGGGGTGCCCCTGCTGTAGGCTGAACAGAACTGAGGGCTGCAGAGGTAATCCCAGAACCGGCGGTGTGGTGGAGGTGGTGGGTCACGTGGTGGTACTCAACGTCCAGCCTGCCCCACCAACCCTGTCCCACGAGGGCCTCTGCAGCCCTTCAGGGCTCTCCTGTTCCAAGGCTGCCATTTTCTGGGTCTGAGGCCTGAGCATTGGTGTGATCACTTTAATTTTCCAGTTATTGGCAGTGCCAGAGTCCCAGCTGCCTAAGCTAGAACTCAGGAGTTGTTCTTACCTCTTTCCCACCCCAGCACTCTGAGGCTTGTCGTCGCTGCCTTCTTCCCCCTTAGTATCTCTGATCTCCCCACTTGTCTCCAGGCCTTCTGCCATGCTCATGGTCAGGACCACCCTCAGTCTTGGCCCAGACTTGCTCCTTTCTTTTTTTTTTTTTTTTTTTTTTTTTGAGAGGGAGTCTCGCGCTGTCGCCCAGGCTGGAGTGCAGTGGCCGGATCTCAGCTCATTGCAAGCTCCGCCTCCCGGGTTTGCGCCATTCTCCTGCCTCCGCCTCCCAAGTCGCTGGGACTACAGGCGCCCGCCACCTCGCCCGGCTATTTTTTTGTATTTTTTAGTAGAGACGGGGTTTCACTGTGTTAGCCAAGATGGTCTCGATCTCCTGACCTCGTGATCCGCCCGTCTCGGCCTCCCAAAGTGCTGGGATTACAGGCTTGAGCCACCGCGCCCGGCCAGACTTGCTCCTTTCTAACTTGCTCCCTTTCATTCCACCCCGGGCAACCTGCATGATTCTTCTAGAATGAAACTGATCACTTTACTCCACCTCCAAACAAACTCAGCAAAGGCATTGCAATGAAAACAAAACCCCAACTTTTCACAGTGGTGCAAAAGGTCAGAGGCCTTGCCTGTCTCCCCTTCTCCCCTTGTCTCAGTCCTCCTCCTTAGGTACTCCTTGAGAGACTTGCACTTCCTCCCAAGCACACCAGGATTCTTCTTGCTGACTCCTTTTGCACGCGCAGCTCCCTTTGCCTGGAAACTTTTCTCTCCAAAGCTGCCACCCCACCCTTTAGCTGGCTAATTTCAGCTTATCCTTGAAGTTGCCGCTTCTTTTGGGAAGCCTTTCTGACTCCTCCAGGTGGGCAGAAATGTGCCTGCTCTGGGATTCCGTAGCAGCCTGTATTGCCATGTCATGGTGCTTCCTTGATTGTAGCTGTGCATGGGCAGTGGCTTCACTGTTGAGCACCCACCTCAGTGCCCAGTGCAGAGTGGGTGCTCAAATATTTGCCGACTGACTATGAATTATGCACAAACACAAAACAAGTAGAAATTGAATCAGACATCCAAGGATTGCCTGTGGGGCTAAGGGGAGACTTGACCTGCTTTTCTATCTGGGAGGAAATATTTGAACAACCTGAAGCAAATCCAATAACACTGCCTCATTACCTTTTCCCCTAAGAGCTGCCAGCAAGATTGCTTTGGAGTTAAGTCCTTTAATTAAAATACCCTGGACTAAAGCCTTGGAAGTGAAATGAGGGCAGCAGCCGCTGAGGCAGAGTTGGGGAATAGTGGCAGAGCCCGGATTTTCCCAGCAGGGTAGCCTGCCTAGGAAACAAAACGATCCCTTTCAGCTTCAGCTGGCGGGCGCTCACCTTAGCAGCCTGGAGGTGTATGACAGTGGTCTGGTTCCAGGCCTCGTGCTGGTCAGCTCCGGATTGCGTCAGGGTCTGTAAATGGTGCACTGAGTCCTTTATCAGTCTGAAGGCCAAAGCAAAAAAGGTTCAGCTTCCTGACTGAGTGGAAAAGACAACTGATGGGCTTCCTGTGGTCCCTCAGAAGTAGAAGTAATGCCTGTTTATTGACCACTTATGTGCTATAAAGCTAAATGATTGATACTCATTATCTCTTTAACTCTTTTAAGGGCAGGCACCCCCCAGTTTGCTATGGGGAAAACTGAGGCCCAGAGAGGTTAACTAATTTGTCCAGGGTCACACAGCTAGTAAGGAGTAGAGCCAGGATTTTGACTTGTTGTTAATCGCCATGTTATAAAGCCTCAGGGCCACAGGCCAGGAGCTGTGCCCTATTTCTAATGCAGATTCCAGCCTGACACCAGTATGTTCAGGCCTTTTTGTTGACTCTCGTCCTATGGCCTGAGCAAGGAGAATGGTTTTTCTGTAAAGGCTACAGAGGCCCGTCAGTCACCTAGCCTGCTGCAGGTTCTACCCACGGGACCTAAAAACAAAAACAGAAAACCAACCTTTGTCCTGAAAACCACTAAATTAGTCATTTGCCGTTTTATTAACCTTTAATCCCTTCTTATTTTCTGTTTCCTGCCCGTCCATCCATGACCCTTGGAATCTGTGTGTAAAGCAAACTGTTTATTAGGCAATATGTTTTTTGCTTTGTCAGGGAATAGATAAGCAGATGTCACATTGAATTTCAAGCAAGGAGAAATATCATGACACTTTAATTACCTTGAGCAGCCTTATTTTCCCCTCCTCAAATCTCCCAATTGAAATGTTAGCTCTGTGAGGTCTGGGGTGTTTATCAGGCCTATTTACTGATAGGCCCCTAATGCCTGGAACAGTGCCTGCCATATTATAGGCAGTTAATAAATATTTTTGGAATAAATAAATGAATGTTCCAAGTTGCTTATGATCTTGAAATAACTATTAACCATCCCTGGGACCACAGGTTGGGATATAAGGCCTCTTATTATATACTGAAAACATGTTTTTCCAGTTTGTTTTTGGTGTTTCATTTTTATTTTTTTATTAAATTTTTTCTATGTTTGGTAGAGGTGGAGTTTCACCATGTTGCCCAAGCTGGTCTCAAACTCCTGAGCTCAAGCAATCCTCCCACCTCGACCTCCCAAAGTGCTGGAATTACTGGTGTGAGCCACCATGCCCAGCCTGTTTTTGGTGTTTTAATTTGGGGCAGGGTTCAGAAGTTTCCTTTTTAGGTAATTAAACCTCCATCTTTTCCACGGTGGTATCTGTGTTTGGTCAGGACCTCTCTATTCCCAGCCCCTGGCATATTTAGTCATTCCTAACACAGAGTAGGTACTGAACAGTATTTATTGAATGACAGAATGGATGAGTCCTTGGCTTTGTCCATGTTCCCTGGAGCCTACTAGACCCTGGAAATAAGTGAATTCTATTCTGTGGTGTTGTCATATTTTCAAAAATTATTTTTAGATTATGGGATATTTCAAACATACAAGTGAGTATTGCTTTATTTATTGATATTTGCATATCAATACATTTGTAGTATTTACATGTGGTACATTCCTTGTATTGCAAATCACCATAGGACCCTAGAGATTCAAAAAATATCTCACAGTAGTAGAAGGACATCACACCTCTGGGCCACCAGAGGTGGCCAGGATGGGGAAGTGATGGGGATCCATGGCTGATGCGGGGGACTTCCCCTCTCTCTCCCATGGTGGCAGGGACTGAGAGGATGGGGGAGGCTAGGCATGGGGTGGCTTTTTAGAACTGAATCCACGAATGTCCACCCAACCAATCCAAAGGCCCTAGTGTGGCATGGAGCCTGTCCCCAGGTGGGATGGCTGCTTTCTCAGCACTGGCTTACCTTGCTGCCACGTGTGCCCAGGCTGTGGTGTAGAGCTCTGGGCAGAGGAAGTCGGCTGCCCTCTGGGCTGGACACCTGGCCAGGTCAGGTGTGGCGAGATACGCGACAGATGGAGGGAGAGATCTCTGTGGCGTGGAGCCAGGGGACATCTGAGTCTGCAGGTAGCTCTTCACCAGAAACCTGGGGCGTGGAAGGGGAGGCAGGTGAGAGGGCAGAGACTCTGCAGGACAGCCCAGCACCCCTCACTCCCAGAGGCAGGCGAGTTCATGCTGGGTTCCAGCCTTCCCGTGGGAGAGCCGGGTCACCGGGCCTCCACCTGGCCTCCCTCCTGAGGATTCCCCCTTGGGCCATCCTGCCTCGAGGCCTGCAGTCAGGCACACCCCGGGAAACTGTAGAGCCGGGCCAGACACTCTCAGATCCTGAACATAAACCCTTCTGTGATCTGAGCAAACAGAATTTTCCATCAGAATACTGCGATTTTGGGATTTATAATGACTTGTACAGTGACTGGGTGGAAATTAAATTTTCTTAGCTGAAAAAAGAAGGATAGAGGCAAGCATGCTAACAGGAGTAGGAGGATTATAGGTGACTCTCAACTGCTGCTTTAGGATAATCCAGTGGTTACAGGTTCTGGGCTTAGACAGCCCTGGATTCCCATACAGCCTCGCTGAGACCTGTATGATGAACGAAGCATCACCTCCCAAGTCATGGTTTCTCTGGCTCTAGGTGGGAGGACAGTTCTCATCTGATTGAGGGTTTGTGAAACGGAATGAGATGATATTTGTAGAGTGCTTAGCACAGTGCAGAGTACATAATATGTGCTATTGTATTCCTTTTCTAATTTGGAAAAAAATCAAGGGACGTTATATATTTTTAAAAACACAATAAATGTTGTTTTTCATATTTGCCAGTGAACTTCTTTCTCCTTTCATAGGGAAGCATTTGCCCTGTTTGGTCACCTGAGAGTAGGTGAGGATGAGGCTCTGTCAGCCTCCAGGGTCCACAGACCTAAGAGGGATGAAAAGAAATCACTTGTGTGGAGGAGGCTGACTTGGCCATTGCTTGGAGCCTCTGTGTGCAGGCTCTGCACCAAGCCTAGGCGATGCTAAAGCGAGCAAGATAGGGGTAGTCCCTGCCCTCAGGGAGCTCCTAGTCTAGTTGGCAAGTAGAGCTAAAAAGGTGAACAAAAAAATGAGACAACGATAGATTGTAAAACTGCTCCAAAGGAAACAAGGCCATGTTGGGTGGGAGGGGATCAAATGCAAAGGCCTCCTGGACAGAAAGAGGTGTGTGGCTGGCAGAAGTGAGCAGAGGTGGCTGGGTGTGGTGGCTTGTGCCTGTAATCCCAGCACTTTGGGAGGCTAAGGCAGGTGGATCACCTAAGGTCAGGAGTTGGAGAGCAGCCTGGCCAACATGGAGAAACCCCATCTCTACTAAAAATACAAAAATTAGCTGGGCATGGTGGTGTGTAATCCCAGCTACTGCGGAGTTTGAGACAGGAGAATTGCTTGAACCCGGGAGGCGGAGGTTGCAGTGAGCCGAGATTGCACCACTGCACTCCAGCTTGGGTGACAGAGTGAGACTCCATCACAAAAAAAAAAAAAAAAAGAAAACAGAAAGAAGTGAGCAGAGGCAGGAGGTGGTGAGAGCATCATGGACAGGGAGTCAGGGGTCAGGTCACACAGACCTTGCAGGCCACAGCATAGAATATGTCATTTTCCTATGAGCACTGGGAAGCCATTGAAGAATTTCAAACCAGAGAAAGATGTGATCTTCCCTAGGCTCTGAAAAGATCCCTCCGGCTGCCTGTGGAGAAGCGGGACAGGACAGAAGCAAGAGACCAGGGAGGGGTCTGAGGCTGTGGTGGAGGTGAGAGAAGATGGTGGTCTAGAAGTGGATAGATGAGTCATACTGGGGAATTGGACAGCTCCCAAGTGGCACTTCCCAAAGCCTGCTCCCTTTATGGGCATCAGACGGAACCCTCCACCCAACAAGCTTGGTGGGTCCCCAAGGGCTTGGGCAAAGGCCTGGGTCAGCCTGGACCTTACCTGGCCACCTGCAGGTAGAGCACTGTGTTCTCACCCTCATAGGTGCAGGAGGCCGACAATTTGGTGACCAGTGATGGCAGGCCACTCAGCTTTGAGTAGCCGTGTCCGCCACAGGCCCTGCGGCACATCTCAGCTCCCTGAGTGCAGAATTCCGACATCATGGCCTTCATGCCTGTGCTCAGTGCGTGGAGCTGTGAGAACATGGAGGGGGGGTTGGGGGGTGTAAAGGAGCCTCTACCATGGGGACCAACCCTGTGCACCACTTACTGAGCATCTACTGCATGCCCAGCTCAGCTCCGAGGTAAGAAGTGTTTCTTCTGCTCACAACTTTGTGAATGAGAAGGCGGGTAGTCAGCTTATGTGACTCACCCAGAGGCACACAATTAGGCAGTATAGCTGTAGGGGCATAAGAGCAAAGGAAAACCTGGCCTGGCCAGTGTCTCCAGGATTGGGAAGAGGGTGCTGCCTGGATGGGGCCCACAAGCCTCCAGGAGTTACAGATTTTGCCGGCATGGGTTTTAGAAAGCCCGCCTGTGAGGACGGGTGTCCACTGTAAGCCCACTTACTGGGTTGTTGGAGGGTGACAGGGTCTGAATGTGTCCACCTAAAATTCTTATTTAGAAATCCTAGTCCCCAAGGGTTAGGGCTAGGATTAGGAGGTATTGATGATTAGGAGCTAGGAATAGGAGGTATTATGATGGTAGTAGGAGGTGGGGCCTTCTGGAGGTGACCAGATCATGAGGGTGTAGCCTTCGTGAATGGGATCAGTACCCTCATGACAGAGGCCGCTTCTGGCTGGGTGTGGTGGCTCACACCTGCAATCCCAGCACTGTGGGAGGCCGAGGCAGGTGGATCACGAGGTGAGGAAATCGAGACCATCCTGGCCAATACAGTGAAACCCCGTCTCTACTAAAAATACAAAAATTAGCCGGGCATGGTGGTGGGCACCTGTAATCCCACCTACTCAGGAGGCTGAGGCAGGAGAATCTCTTGAACCCGGGAGGCGGAGGTTGTGGTGAGCCGAGATTGCACCACTGCACGCCAGCCTGGGTGACAGAGTGAAGCTCTGTCTCAGGAAAAAAATAAAATAAAACAAAAAGAAAGAAAGAGGTTGCTTCTACCATACGAGGGCACAGCAAAAAGACAGCAGTCTGTGAACCAGGAAGCAGACCCTCACCTGACACCAAATGCACTAGTGCCTTGACCTTGGACTTCCCAGCCTCCAGAACTGTGAGAAATAAATTTGTTTTTCTTTTTTGAGACAGGGTCTCACTCTGCTGCTCAGGCTGGACTGGATGGAGTGCAGTGGCACAATCACAGCTCCTGCATCCTTGAACTCCTGGGCCCAAGGAATCCTCCCACCTCAGCCTCCAAAGTAGTAGTTGGGACTACAGGTGTGTGCTACCACAACTGACTAATTTTTCAATTTTTTTTTTTTTTTGTGGAGATGGGGGTTTCACCATCCTGCTCAGGCTGGTCTTAAACTCCTGGGCTCAAGCAATCTTTCTGCCCTGGCCTTCCAAAGTGCTGAGATTACAGGTGTGAGTCACCATGCTGGGCCAGTTTCTGTTGTTTATAAACCACCGCTTTATGGTATTTTGTTACAGCAGCCTCAACAGAGAGAGAGGCTGCCAGGCAGCAGGCCTAGTTTGAGATTTTGGTTCTTGAAGCCCCTGCCTATCTTTGGAGTTTTCAAGTCCTTGGGAGGAAAGTTGTGTCCCCTGATCTCTCTGTGCCTCAATTGCAGCTGAAAGGGTTAATGAGCAGGGCTTATAAAGCATGGTGCCTGGACAGACTGAATCTTACTGTATATGTAAGATTTACTTGAGACCTGTGAGCCAGATGTGTTTAGGAATCAGAGTAACTTTTGAATTGTAGAGAGGCCAAGTGGCATTGAAGGTACATTTTATATAATAGCCCAGTGGGGTTTGGGGCGGCTTTAGGGATTAAACACATTAATAATTTTCCCGCAAAATGTATTCACACTCAGAAGGATAAATCAGGTCAGTTCAGGTCAAACTGTGCCACCAAATGAGTTCCAAATGACTGTTTTTCAGAGCTTTTTGTGTTTCAAATACACATCGGGGTTGTGGACTTGTGTTCTCTACACTAGATGTGATTGTTTTCTCTTAGCATGTTTGTAGCTCTCTGGGGGCCAGTTGTGGGTAAATTTATATATCAGGGTGCCATTCACCCAGACGCCCTGGGATGCTGAAAGCTGGGAGGGGTGGGGGTGGGGAGTGCCCGCGGGGATGGGGCTGTGGCTGTTCCCCAGTGAGTGGAGCAATCTTAGCTGCCCTCCCAGCGCCTGCCCCTCTGCGGACAGCAGGTACCTCAGGCAGCAAGCTGAAGTCTCTGTTCAGAATGGCAGTGTAGGCGTGCTGGAAGAACTCCAAGAGGCTGACTGCCAGGAAATGGAAGGCATAACTGATGGCCAGCTGAGGAAAGAGTTTCTGCTGCTGCGTCTGGTAGTCCAGGACCTTTGCCTCTGGGTCACTGAAGGGAAAAGAACCGGAAGATTTAATCACTACGTGCCATGTCTGCCTTCCCCTATCCCTGACACCATAAAAACCTTAAAAACAGACAGTTCCTTAGAACTCATTGCAGAACTTGAGCTGACACGAGGCTGTTGATAATCCTTTAAAAATCCCATCTAACATGAACATCCATCCACACATTTCACTGCAGGAATATTGACACGTTTGTTGGTGGGTACTGCCTCTTGTTATGGGAGGCTTATAGAATTCCAGCATATACACGGTATTATCCTAAAGCCTGAAAAGTTCTGAGATTGCAACGTGCCTGGTCCCAAGATTTCAGGTGAAGAGTTGTGGCCGTGCACCCGTGATGATTTGAACCTGACTCCACTGCCCGTGTGCACTTGCTGTGTGCTGAGGAATACATCAAGCCTAAACAATAACTCTTAGAATGTAAACTCGGGTTCGATGGAACCCCAAGGAAGGGACTGTGTCTGCCTTATCCACTGCTATGTCCTCAGTGCCTGAGACTATGTCCAGCACTTACGAGCTCACAGTAACTGGATTGAAAGAGGGTGTGATTACAAGAAGCCTCCTCTCTGGACAGCAGCTGCTCACCTGGCGCATCTTTCTCATGACCACCCTAGGGACACTTCTGCAGCCCAGATAAATGGGCCTCGGGCAGGACAGCAGCAGAAGCCCCTTCTTCCCAGTGGCCCTCTCCTGCGGAGAACTCTCGCAGCCCGGACTCTGAAGCCCAGGCCAGGCGACGGCGCTGTGAGCTTGCCAGAGGAAAGGATCCTGGGCTGAGGGCCTAATGCACCTTACTGCATTTCACCCTCCACACCACCCTGAAAGGCCGCTTCTGCCACGCCCATTTTGTAGCTGAGGAGGCTGAGGGATGAAGTGAAATGGCCGAGCTGAGTGTTCACAGAGGGTTCAGTCAGCCCTTGCTGTTCTGTGCTGTGGGGTGGAGGGAGTGGTACCAACACAACCAATTACAACAAAAGGGATCCAGACATAGACATACCAGTCGGATGCTGACAGCACAGCTGGACAGAATGAGTTCAGCCACACACAATCGATATGACATTGGATTTTGCTAGGCTCGGCCTGACAGAATCAACTCAGCCAGCCACAGTCTGACACAGCTTGCAACTGACTGACCCAGACCCGTCCAACCCCTCACAGCCACACAGAACACAGCCGGACTCGGACAGACACAGAGTCAGACAGACCTGGTGCTACAGGGCCAAAGGCACGATCACACAGAGCCCGAGGGGGCAGGCACTGAGGATGCAGGTTAGGCCAACTGGTCAGCCCTGTTAGAGGGAGCCAGAGAGACCTCTCTGACATGCCCAGATGGGGCCAGGCCTGGGTAGACTGTGTGTGTGTGTGTGTGTGTGTGTGTGTGTGTGTGTGTGTGTGTGTGTGTGGTGGGTGGCAGTGCCTGCTCCCAGCGCTCTGGCTCTGGCAGAAGAGTGTCGGGGGAGGCACTGTGGGACCAAGAGGCAGCATATCTGTGGTAGTCAGTCACTGGGCACCCCTTGCCTGGGCCGGAGCTGGGATTGGCGGCGGATGACTGAGTAGCGCGTGGCGATGACACAGGCCTTCTGCAGTGTAGGGAGGACCTCCCCTAACAGCAGCTCCACCCGCACCACCACCATGGGAAGGTAGTTGCTCTGTGCTGTCCCGAGTTTGATGTATGTGCCATCTGGCAAGACCTGTGTGGAACAAGGACGGGCACAGTGTCTGAGCCAAGGCTCCCCAGGATGCCCCTGCTTCCCCAGAGCTGTGGGGCTCCACACAGGGAGGGTGCTTCTCCCCTCAACTGGCGCATCTGGGGTTGGAATGTTAAAACACCAGGTCATTTCCCCAAGTGCCCTGCTTCACAGCGCCTCTCCTGGGACACCCCAGACCGCCCCACAACCCATAACTAAAGGGGTGATGCCTGGCAGAGTTGGGACCGCCAGAACTCCTGCTGGCATTCTGGCTGGTATCTGCTGGGCGACTGGCTGTGTCAGGCCTCACCGTGGGTAAATATTACGCAGATCACCTCAGCTCTATCCTCTCCTGGGGCTGCAGCTCCACCCCACGACTGCTCCGTCAGCCTATGTGACGAGCATTTCTGCATGAGAAGTCGGAGGCTCTGTGTCCAAGATCATACTGCTCCTAAGCAGGGTTCACCCCAGTCTGTGGGACATCAGAGCCTCTCTTGGGGGAGGAGGTTATGTGGCCCAAACTCAGCTCTATGGTGGACCCAGACCCAGCCTGCACAAAGTGCAGGTCCCCTCTCTGGGAAGTACAAGTCCCCGTCCTCCCCAGACCTGTAACCTGTGCAAAGCGACTCAGCATGTTCTCCCTGGGGACCCGCACATGGTTCAGCCGCAGGAAGCCGTTGTCCATTTGATCAAAGTCCATCTTGGGCCCGATGTCCCCAACGATGATTCCTTGAAGGAGATGGAGATGAGGACACCTATCAGTTGAGAGACTGCTTGTTATGTGGCAGGTATCACACACACATTCCAGGTCACAGCAGCCTGTGACCCTGGGGTTATTGTACCTATTTTGCAGGTGAACAAGCTGAGGTCAGACAGATGCTAAATCTTGCTCAAGTTCACCTCACCAGTTAGCACCAAGTCTGTCCAACTGGACCTCTCTGCCCAAGGGAGACATGTCTTAGCTACTCCTGTGGCCCTCTGGGGCCCCAGGTCAGGGAGGCCACCTGGGCTCTCCTCCTGGCGGGGTCCTTGAGGGAGCATTATGGGCTCACCTGGCAGTGGGGTATGGTCCCGAAGACTCCGGATTGGCACAATAAAAGCGTGCATGCCCCGCCGGGCTCCTGAGCAGACCAGCTGGGCCTGGACCAGGGCATGGGTGGCTGACCGTCCCACTGAGGGCAGAGAGAGGAGAGGCCCGTCACAGGAAGACCTGCGCATTGCTTTTCCCAACCCAGCCTCCTGGGGCTGGGGTTTTGGATGGGTACCTCTGGGGCCCTGAAAAGTCACTGATCAAAGAGAGAGGGGATTGCCCCCAAAGAACCAAGCAAACTTAGCAGTGACTTGGCAAAGGCACTGTGAAATGATTCAGCTTTTTTTTTGGCCCCCACCCCCCAACTATTAATGAATTACTCTGTCATCAACCTTATAACAATGAATACAGATAATTATCGTTTATCAAAATCCAGGCGGCGCTAGACCCTGTGATAGATGCTTTCCAGTTCTCGCAGGGGAGAGAGGATGATGAGTCCCATTTTCCAGATAAGGAAACAGGCTCAGAGAGTAGAGTGACGCACTGAAGGTCACTGGCCTGGAGGGGCAGAGCTAGGATTTATCTGTACCCTGGTCTATCTGATCTTAAAGGGTGGTTTCTTTTGTCTTCATTTTTGACAGTAGTCATTTATTTTCTATCTCTCTTTCTCTCGTCACTCTCTCATCTCTCTCTCTCTCTTTTTTGAGACAGAGTCTTGCTCTTTCGCCAGGCTGGAGTTCAATGGTGTGAACTCAGCTCACTGCAACCTCCGCCTCCCAGGTTCAAGCAATTCTCCTGTTTCAGCCCCCCGAGTAGGTGGGACTACAGACACCCGCCACCACACACGGCTAATTTTTGTATTTTTAGTAGAGATGAGGTTTCACCATATTGGTCAGGCTGGTCTCCAACTCCTGACCTCAGGTGATCCATTCACCTCGGCCTCCCCAAGCGCTGGGATTACAGGCATGGGCCACCGCACCTGGCTCATGTCTCTCTATTATGTCTCTGGTCTCTGCCTCTGTCTTCCTCTGTCTGTGTGTCTCTCATCTCTGTCACTCTCCTGCTTTAGTTGGACTCAGCATATTTGTTTTACTTTTTTCCACACAAGGTGTGGGTCCCCAAGTGCCACAGATGTGTCCTGGGAGGTGAAATTCTCAAGTTTGAGGAAGGGGAAAACCCTCCTTGGGGCTTGGTAAATCACCGAGCCTCAGGGACACTTGATGTGGCCGCCACCTGGTGGCCACAGCGGGAGGTACGGCGTTGGTGGCTTGATGGGGGCTGGTGGTGGGCGTGAGCCTTTCTGGGTGTCTGCAGAGGGGCAGACAGGTGTGCTCTTTCCACTGTCTCATCACAGGGCCTGTGCTCTGGCTGGTGGCAAGCTCTACCAATAACTCAGGAGATGAGAGGAGATGTGAGGAGTGCCTGGGACTAGACCAAGTGTGTGTGTGTTTGTGTGTGTGTGTGAGTGTGAGGCCTTGTCTCTCATGGATTGTCTCCTCTATTTCAAAGTTCCTTTGGGGACTTTCCAGCCACTCACTAATGAAATGTTTAACATCCCACCTATTTTACAGAGTGAGAACCTGAGGCTCAGGGAGGTGAACTGACTTGCCCAAGGTCAGCAGCCTAGAACAGAAAATCAACCTGAGGTCTGTTGAACCTCAAAGCCAGTGCTACTCTGCCCTCCAATATTTCTATCTGGGGAGAGATAAGGAAGGGGGTTGGATGGATACTCACGGTCTCCAGGCCACCATTTGGTGGCAGTCAGCGTGGGGCTGTGTATCACAAACTCCTGGGTGGCTGCGTCATAGGTGGCTTCAGTCTCCAGGCCCTGAAGATATGTCCCTTAGGATCAAGGAGGGATGTTAGAATTGGCCCAAGGTGGGGATCTTACCTGGGAAGCTGCTTCTAGGTGGGCCTGTACTCTTAGGCATTAGTGCGGTACAGAGTGGGGCTCAGCTCCCAGCTGTACTTGCAGGCAGTTCTCCCCTTTCATCTGTGGGCCGTGTGGGGGTCACACAGTCCCCTATAGCCAGTCTGTGACAAGGGATGGCTGCTGATGTTTCCAGAAGGAATTACTTGCCCCACTGGGAGCTCACACAATATGTGCAAATTAGAAGGCAGCATCCCTTCCTCAAGACCCTTGACTGCCATCTGCTGGAATGTTTTCATATTAAACATATGTCCCTCGAAGCCTATGAACCTGTGACTACCGAGATGTAAATGGGCCCTCTGGAGTTTTGCAGTGCACAACCTAAACACCACATGCAGCAGCCCTGGCTCACCATGTCCCAGCTCTGTCTGTGCATACGTTGCGATGATCTGGATGTTTTTGCAGAGTGGGTCCCATTTGGCAATCTGTTCCTCTGAGCCCAGGCTCCTGAGGGCTTTCAGGAAGACTCTGTGTATATTTAAAGCCACATCTCCAGAAAGGGCTCTGTTGGGGAGAGATGCTGTAGTTGAGTAGCCTATTGGAGACGGGGGCCCAGGTACCCCCTGCCTGAGCAGAGTACAGGAGATAAAGGGCACCTGGCATCCTGGTTTCCCAACAAGTCTTCCCTTTGTTGGGGGAAATGGCTCATGGGGCTGGGGGGTTTCCAGGTGATCCCAGGTGGATCCCTCTCTAGTGGGGCTGCCCCAGGAGTGAGCACCTGTAAGCATAGCCTAATTCACGACCATCTTCCAACCAACCCAGGCGCTGTGCTATCAACCGGATGTGGAATGCCCTCCGCATGGCAGCCTTATAACGCTCATTCTGGGTCATGAAATAATTGTCCTTACGGCTAAACTCTGGGTAACTGTGGATGATGCTCTCTGCAGAGACAGAGAATAGAGGGCTTAGGGACCTGGGTGAGGTTTCTGGCACCTTCAAATCTTCTTACCCACTTGCTTCATGGATCTGGAAAGGAAGTCAGACATTATTGTTATTTTACAGATGACAAAACTGAGGACCAAAGTGGGAAAGTGAATTGCCCAAGGTTACAAAGCTATGCAGTGGCAGAATTTTAGGACCAGAATCCAGGTCTTCTGCTGCCTAGGACTCTTCTATCCCCCAGGTGGGCTCAGGCAATATTGACATGCGAAGATTGTCTTTACAGTTCAAAGGAATGAATCTCTAACAGTGGAATTTCAAGGCAAAGTTTGTTATTTGAAAGCAGGACTGCTAATGAAGGAGACTCTTCTTACAAGAGAAGCATGGGGCATAAAGCAGATGTCCTATTCCCCAGCTTCCCCTTACCAACTTTCCTCCGGAGAGCAGTGTTCTGGGCACCTCCATCAAGGATGTTGGTGAGCCGTTCCACGTCAAAGGACTGCATATACCTCTCGCTCTCCATGTCGGGGTGCATTTGCCTGCTCCAGGTATCCCCCAATGACACTCGGTGCACTGGGCTGCCCATCCTATCCTGGATCTGTCTGGTGACTGACGTGAAACACTTCCGACCCGGCTGCTCCGAGGGTCTGCTCTCAGTGTTGGTCAGTGCAAAGAACCTGTGTGCAAGAGGAACTGCCTAGGGCTGGGTGTCAGCCAGGGCTGGTTGGTAGAAGAAAGACATCCCTAAGTACCTGAATCCCACTCCACCTCCACACTCTCCCTGTGGACGCTGGCTGTGGACCAGGCACTGTGTGCATGGTAGGCATGGTATGCAGTCATTGCTTGGTACATGTCTGTTCAATACTTGTTAAATAAGATTGAACAGGGCCTGACCCCAAAGATTGGGCTCTATCCACTGCAGTTCGTGTTACATGAGTTGCCTAGGGAAATCTTCACAAAAAAGTCAGTGAAGGTTACACCTGAAGAAAATAATCCTGGAGAGGCTGAGTGGCCCCTAGCCACACAGCTGGAGACGGCCAGGAGTTGGATGGGGTCTGACCACAAAGCACATGCCTTGTCCATACTACAGCTCCACTGTGGAGGATTACTGAGGGCACCTTGGTCTCATTCAGCTGCTCATAAGTTCTAGGATCATTCAGCCCCATTTCTATGAGCCCTGCAGGTGTATTGTGGAACTGAAAGGAGGAAACCTGCTCCCTGACTGTGAAGTGTTCCCCTAGAACCCCTGAGTGTCTTTCACACCCAGGTTGGGCCCTGTCTCCTCCATGGCAAATGCTTGGCCTCTGAGAAGCCCCTATTCCTCCACAGTGAGGGAACCATAAGGTGCAGTTCATCCTATTTCACAAGTCTCTTGAGTCCATCTGCTCCTTGCTATCTCTTTGGCTAGCATCCAGGCCACTGTCATCTCTTACTTGGCCTCAGTGTCCCTTTTATCTGTTCTCCCAGCTGCCAGGTGAACTCTTGAACTGCAGATCACATTGTTTTCCTCTCCTGCTTGGAATCTGCTCCTTGGGGCCCACTGTTAGTGGAACGGAGTCCTTGCTGTGTCTACCCACCTCCCACTCCACTCGCCTCTCTCCTATGTCAACTAACTGCCACATCATCCCTGGCCTCCACTCACTCTCTTCCTACCCTTTGCCCCTGCTGTTCTCTCTGAACAAGGTTCAGCTCCCTGGTCCCTGGGGTGCTCTAGAGTTAGGGACAAGTTCTTATTTGCTTACATGTTCCTCCCACAAGGCCTGGGAGGCCAGCTCTGCATTTCCTAGCTTGCAGCAGGCATGCTGTAAATCTTTCCTGCAGGCTGCCATGCTTTTGATTGCCCTTCCTTCCTGACCTCAACCTGACAGATGCACTGCTGTTATTACCATTTTATGGGGAGGATGTGGGCCTTGGAAAGGGAGGAGACTTTATAAGATCATGCAGCCACATGTAGCAAGTGAAATTCATACGCAGGCTTTCAAACCAATACCCCTAGCAGGGCTGTGGGGGTGCTGGCAAGGGCTCCATCCTCTGCCCCCTGGAGTCCTGCAAGCGCACCTAGTGTGGCTCCTCTCTTCCTGCCTCACCTCTTTTCCTTGCTCTGTTGCCACTACCTCCTTGCTGTTCTGAATGCTCCAGGCCTCCCTGCCACTGCCAGCTTTTGCCGGGGTAGCTCCCTCTGCCCAGAACACCCTTTCTTCAAATGTCACCAGGGCTGTTTGCATTGAACCTCGTTTAACCTTAAAGAGGCCACCGTCTTTAAAACCAAGCCCCCTCCCCCAGCATTCCCTGTCCTCCTCACTCTGCTCTCCTTTTTCTCTTTTCACTTACCCTCTGCTGACATTTGAGATCATTTACTAATTTCATATGTTTTTGTTTACTTCCATCTCCCTGCTAGTAACACAGAAACTGCAAGAGGGCCAGGATCTTTGTCACTGTCACACTGTGACCCTAACACTTAGTGCAGGGCCTGGTTTGCAGGAGGTGCCCAGTGAAGAAAGCCTTGCTCAGGGTCTCTCGGAGCTGCGGACAGGGTCATCACGGGGGCGACTCTGTCCTCTGGGGTCTCCCAGTCCCTCCCCGCCCGAAAGCCTGGCTCACCTGGCTCCCCTCTGTCCTGTGTCTGCACTGTAGGCTGGGCTGGCCTCTCCCCGGCTGTAGGCCACAGCCTCTCGCAGGCTTGTGGTCCTGCCCTTCTCTCCTCCCACAGAGGGGCTGGAACACAGAAGTGGAGAGCCCTGCTTGGCCAGCGCTCCGCCTGTCCCGGCTTGCGGAGCTCCCCTCCCTCCTCTTTCTCTTCCTGCATGGGTGTGACCTCTGTGCTGTTGCTGGGGCTGCTCTGGGAGGACTGCTGGGAGGTTGGAACCCTTCCTTCTCAAAGCCAGGGATTCCTTTGACACTACTTGTACCAAAAAGCTGCGTAGCCCAGCAGTGTTTCCAAAGTGATATCCTGGTCTTCATTGATCTTTCTTTTTTTTTTTTTTTGAGACGGAGACGGAGTCTCACGCTGTTGCCCAGGCTGGAGTGCAGTGGCGCGATCTCGGCTCACTGCAAGCTCCGCCTCCTGGGTTCACGCCATTCTCCTGCCTCAGCCTCCTGAGTAGCTAGGACTACAGGCGCCCGCCACCGCGCCCGGCTAATTTTTTGTATTTTTAGTAGAGACGGGGTTTCACTGTGGTCTCGATCTCCTGACCTTGTGATCCGCCCGCCTCGGCCTCCCAAAGTGCTGGGATTACAGGCTTGAGCCACCGCGCCCGGCCTGGTCTTCACTGATCTTTCACTGTGTGCCCTTCAGGGACTCAAGCTGTTAATATCACATGAGCTTAATAGGCTCCCCTCAGATGGTCCTCATGTGAAAGGATTGCTCTGTAAGGTGTATGTTTTTCCTCTCTTCCCATGTTTCTGCTCTAAAATATGGCTTGTCTTATGCTTAGCATCCCCTGACATTCCCTGGAAAAATATTTGTGGCGCATCCATCTGTAGTGTGTGGGATCCAGATGGGAGCTGGGTCTTAGTGAGAGGAATGAGAGCCTTAGAGGTTCCCTCCCTGCATAACCACCCTGGAAAGTCAGATGCGGCTCCCCATTTTGCAGGTAAGGAAACAAGCTCAGGGAGGGGATGTCACCTTGTTTAGGTTTGCACAATAAGTAGATTACATAACACATTTGTGTAAGATTGGGAAAGAAATCAGGGGACCAGTAGGAGATCAAGGCTCCTGTTCTGGCAGGACTTCTGAGCTATTTTGACACTGAGCAGGTGTACTCCCTTTCTGGGCCTTGGCCCCCCTGTAATGCAAGGTATTTGCTCCGTAAGGAGCCTCACAGCACCCCATCATATCGCCAAGGTAATGTCTAGCTTGTGTCTGCAGGAAGAGGCAGGACCTGTGGCCCAAGCTTTGCAACTTATTACCTAGCAGGTCCTTCTGGAGCTGTGGGGCTCAGAATCCTGGCAGTCCCCATTGCTGTGGGCAGTGGTTTCAGGGAAGGTGGTCTTGGCCCCACTGTTTGGAGGTGAAAGTTCTCACTTCCAACTGGACTCATCTCTGTCAAGGATTTATGCTATGGGAATGACTTAGTTACTCTCTGCCATAGAGAAAGGCTTGGATTGCAGGAAGTGCCCAGTGAAGAAAGCCTTGCTCAGGGGCTCTTGGAGCAAGGCTTTTTAATAAACTCTCCATGTTTAAATTGTTTTCTCATCTACTTTGAAGCTGATCCTGTTCTGTATGTTTTGGATGTGATCATTTTGATTTGTTGCACTGAACTCTTGAATTCTGTAGCTTAAAAAGGCTTTTAAAATTACAAGATATTTCAAACTTGTACAAAAGTGAAGAGAAAAATATAATGAACCCACACGTACCTAACATCCAGCACTAAACATGATCACACTTGTCTCCTTGATCTTTGTTTTTAACTTTTTATTTTGAAATAACTTTAGACTTTCAGAAAGCTGCAAAAAGTTCTTGTATATCCTTCACTCAGCTTCTTCTAAGGTACAATTATGAAACCAAGACATTAACACTGCTGCAATATTGTTAGCTAATCTTCAGAACTTATTTGAGTGCGTCAGAGGTTCTCTAGGATCAACCTCAGGTCCGGTGATTTGCTAGGAAGACTCACAGAACTTAGAAACTGTTATACTGAGCCAGGCGCGGTGGCTCATGCCTATAATTCCAATGCTTTGGGAGGTTGAGGTGTGAGGATCACTTGAGGCCAGGACACCAACCTAGACAACATAGCAAGACCCTGTCTGTACCAAAAAATATGTAAAAATTAGCCCAGTGTGGTGATGTGTGCCTGTAGTGCTAGCTCCTTGGGAGGATGCAGTGGAAGGATTGTTTGGGCCCAGGAGTTCAAGGCTGCAGTGAGCTATGATGGAACCACTGTACTCTAGCCTGGGTGACAGTGAGACTTTGCCTCTAGAACAAACAGGAAGAAACTGTAATACTCATGGTTACAGTTTACTATAGCAAAAGATTACAGATTAACATCAGTAGAAGAAAAAGGTACATAGTGGGAAGTCTAGGAGAGAATGGACTGAGCTTCTAGGTGTCCTCTCCCAGTGGTGTTGTAGGGACAGCATTTAATTCTTCCGAAAACGATGTTTACAATATGCACGAAGTATTGACAACCAGGGAAGCACACTTTTGAGGTAGGAGAACAGCAGAAGGAATTGGAGGTTGGATAAAGGGCGGAATGATCGAAAGCAGAAGCAAGGTGAAGGGGTGAGTGAGCAAGAAGCAAGATAAGAAGCAGAAGTTAAGCAGCCAAAACAAAAGTAAGATAAAAAACTGAGTAAAGAGACCCCATGGCTGGCAAGATCCTGACCAAGCCAGTAAAGGGCAGCTCCTCAGAGATGGGCATGCGCATTAGAGAGAAAAAGTATCTTTAACGTGACCCCGTATGATAATCAGCTCATTAAAGCTCATGCATATGGACTGCATATCATGCATGTACTTGAGGTCATGGAATGGAGTCGACGTGGAAGTGCACAAGGGCCAAAGTAAGCAACACACCTATCAATCAAAAGGCAGACACTAGCTAGAGATTAGGCAGCCTTGGGAAAAGAAAGGGAAAAAACACATAAGAAGACCACAAGCACAGCAAACTGATGCTGATCTCATCTCGCAGAGGTCAGCCCACTCTGCCCTCTTGGAGAGTATAATGCTGTGCTTAATAAACAATTGCTGCTGGCTTTGCTACTTGTGTGTGTCATGTCCAGTTTTTTGGTTTGTTTGTTTGTTTTTGAGACAGAGCCTTGTTCTGTTGCCCAGGCTGGAGTGCAGTGGTGCAATCCTGGCTCACTGCAACCTCTGCCTCCCGGGTTCAAGCGATTCTCCTGCCTCAGCCTCCTGAATAGCTGGGATTACAGGCATGTGCCACCATGCCCGGCTAATTTTTGTATTTTTAGTAGAGACGGGGTTTCACCATGTTGGTCAGGCTGGTCTCGAACTCCTGACTTCAAATGATCTGCCTGCCTCGGGCTCCTGAAGTGCTGGGACTATAGGCATGAGCTGTTGCGGGAAGTCAGGGACCTCGAACAGAGGGACTGGCTGAAGCCGCAGCAGAAGAACATAAATTGTGAAGATTTCATGGACATTTATTAGTTCCCCAAATTAATACTTTTATAATTTCTTATGCCTGTATTTACTGCAATCTCTGAACATAAATTGTGAAGATTTCATGGACACTTATCACTTCCCCAATCAATACCCTTGTGATTTCCTATGCCTGTCTTTACTTTAATCTCTTAATCCCGTCATCTTCTTCGTAAGCTAAGGAGGATGAATGTTGCCTCAGGACCCTGTGATGATTGTGTCAACTGCACAAATTGTTTGTAGAGCATGTGTGTTTGAACAATATGAAATCTGGGCATCTTAAAAAAAGAACAGGATAACAGCGATGTTCAGGGAACAAGGGCGGTAACTTTGAACTGGTCACCGGTGAGCCAGATGGAACAGAGCTATATTTCTCATCTTTCAAAAGCAAATAGGAGAAATATTGCTGAATTCTTTTTCTCAGCAAGGAACATCCCTGAGAAAGAGAATGCACCCTGAGGGTAGGCCTATGAACGGCCCCCTCAAGGCGTGCCTTCTTTTATAGTCAAAGCCGAAGGGATGAAATAAGCCCAGTCTCCTGTAGTGCTCCCAGGCTTATTAGGACGAGGAAAATTCCTGCCTAATAAATTTTGGTCAGACAGGTTGTCTGCTGTCACACCCTGTTTCCTGATAAGATGTTATCAATGACAATGCGTGCCCAAGACTTCATTAGCAATTTTAATTTCGCCCCATCCGGTGGTCCTGTGATCTCGGTCCTGTGATCTCGTCCTGCCTCCATTTGCTTTGTGATATTTTATTATCTTGTGAAGTATGTGATCTCTGTGACGCACACCCTGTTCGTGCACTCCCTCCCCTTTTGAAAATCGCTAACAAGGCCGGGCGTGGTGGCTCAAGCCTGTAATCCCAGCACTTTGGGAGGCCGAGGCGGGCGGATCACAAGGTCAGGAGATCGAGACCACAGTGAAACCCCGTCTCTACTAAAAATACAAAAAATTAGCCGGGCGCGGTGGTGGGCGCCTGTAGTCCTAGCTACTCAGGAGGCTGAGGCAGGAGAATGGCGTGAACCCAGGAGGCGGAGCTTGCAGTGAGCCGAGATCGCGCCACTGCACTCCAGCCTGGGCAACAGCGTGAGACTCCGTCTCAAAAAAAAAAAAAAAAAAAAAAAAAGAAAATCGCTAACAAAAACTCGCTGGTTTTTCGACTCGGGGAACATCACGGATCCTGCCGACATGTGATGTCTCCCCCGGACACTCAGCTTTAAATTTCTCTCTTGTGCTCTTTCCCTTTATTTCTCAAACCAGCCGAGACACTCAGGAAATAGAAAAGAACTCACGAAACCATCAGGAGTGGGTTCTCCTGACAGTGAGCCATGGCACCCGGCCCAATCCAGCTTTTTGTTTGGGACACCAAGAGACTGGAACTGCATGGCACCATCTGGCAACATCTTGGTGTCCAGAGTTATTGCAGTCATCACAGAGCCGTGGGATGCTGGTGTGGCTGACCTTAGCTACTCCGTCTCCATCGACTCCAGATGTGAAACTGATAGAGTGTGGCCCAAGGACCCACTCGGAATCACATTATTAGTATAAACTGCCTGGCATGGCCCAAGGCCCCAAGTATACAAAGATACTGTTTTCAGGCAGGATATTCCA